AAGCGATAGGGGAAGTCCTTCCTCACCTGGTGCCCCTAGAGTGGGAGATGGACTTCTTCAATCATGTAGTAGATTCAGAAAGGCCTTGTTGGGGTTCTCTGGTGTGACTTCTAAAGGTCTGCTTCTGGAAAGACTGACTGCGCCTGGGTTTCCAGATAAAGTGTGTGCTGCTGTGATAAGAACAGCAGTGGCAGCATGGGCCAAGCCATAGGTTGGAATTTCCATGTGTGAGTATTATTTTGATGAGCTGCTAACATTATTCTGCAGGAAGCAGACAATAGGAGGAAATGGTAATACATGCTTATTTTTTAATCAAGTCTGGAGGGAATTTCACTCAAGAAAGAAAATGTACTTTTTGGCCCTGGGCCTTTCTTCTTGCCAAATTTCATAGAATCCTAGGGTTGGAAGGGACCCCAAGTTTCATTTAGTCCAATCCTGTACATCAAGGCAGGATTCACTGTTCCTAAACTAAAAAATCCTCCTCATCAGAATGAACAGGAGAGCTCCACAAATGGATTTCTAATCCATCATCTTAACTGTAAAACTACCTACACCTACTGTCATCAGTGGAGATTTAGAGTTTCTTTTCAGTTAAAAGTAACAAGAATGTTTTATACAGTGTTAGGTAACGTCTCCACCAGTGCAGAGGTATGCTAAGCATTGTAAATTGTGGGGAAGAATGCAGATGAGTGGAAGGGAAGGCTTATCTTCCCAGGCTACTGTTGCCGCAGCAGTGTTAGCACCACTCTGATGGTAGCAGCCCCATGGCTGGGCTCCCTAGGAGCCAGCCCTGGTACCCCATTTGCTTCCTTCCTCTGATACATACATATGGGGTGCAGGGCTGTGCCTGTTCTGGCAAAGGCCCCCATGATGGAGGGGGCTGGGGAGCACCATTCCACTTTCTCCACTTCCGCCTCACTCCCTTGATACCCTGTTTGGTGTGGCACTACCCTCCCCATCTCCTGTGGCCAGGCAGGGACAGCCCAGTGCTGTCCTTTATTTGCAGACTACTGCAGGGGCGCAATTCTGGCACTCCCTCATAGCATCCAGGGCTGGTGCCCAACCCACCTCACCCTATTTAGGCTACTGTGGCAGGATGTTAGCTGAGTGGCTGTGGGAAACTAGGTCAGGACTGTTGCATGTACAAAAGGAAAATATATGATGGTGGAACATGAACATACCATTGGCATGAGTTACAATGAACTAAGAGTGAGTTGTTCAGGGCTTTGCAGATAAAATGTTTATACTTCAACAACATTCCAGTGCTCCATCCTGAATTCTTAACACATTTTATTTATGACAGAAGAACTACTTTAGATTTTTTTTCAGTTTGACATAATTTTGTTGAAACTAATTTTTGTACCTCAGCTAGTTTATAACCATGTGTGCCTCCATCACCATGAATCTCACTGTGGGGAGAAGAAGAAAGATGAAACCTTATAAAACCTATTCATAAAATAGAAGTCTGGTCCACCTGGACCTTGTCCATATATCTATAGTGGTAGGTCCCAGCATAGGACTGCTCAAGCATATCCTGCCCAAGCACACTTTAAACCAGAAATATGCCAGGAGGCTGCTCCTAGCTTGCCTTTCTGTGCCTGCGCCCAAGCCTTCTGGTGCTTGGAGCTACTGCTTCTTTTGTACAGACAAGGCCATTGGTTTTCTGCTAGTAGAGTCTAGTAGTGAGGAATTAATTATATCAGCTAAATTTGCTATGTTCTGAGAACACCACATACACTTGGCAACTTGAAAAGAGATTTTTAGGAAACCAGAACTCTGCATCAAAATTGTTAGAAGTCATGTTGTTACAAAGAGATGACTGCTAATTCAGCATAAAGCCACATAATAATTAAAAGTGGTGGAAGGTACCTTTCCCAACCTTTACAATACTGAGAGATGTCTGTTTTCTTTAGGATAACTGTATTTAGAAGATGCCAGCTGTGTCCCCTCATCAACACAGAGCACATCATCATCAGACCAAACAGAGTGGATTATAATAGCTAAGGTTTTTGCTTCTCTACCAATGTTATATAACCATCACCTGCTTACAGTTCTCCTCTACTGTCTGCACTGGACCAACAGGGAAATCCATACATGAAAGAATGAATGGACACCAGTGTGACACCAAATCCAGAAACACAAAAACCTGTAGCAGAACACTTTACTCTCCGTCAACATTTCATCACTGACCTCAGAGTAGCTGTTCTCAAACAGTACAGCCTTAAAAACCAACTAAATGCAAAAATTGTGGAAAAGAAATCATCCACAGACTGGATTGTGTTAAGTGTGGTCTCAACAGAGACTATATAAATTCCTATATTAATTCCCATTGCCTACAGTAGCTTTTAAGACCCCAACGTCCGCATAGTTTACTGCTTTGTTTTTTAATTCAACCCATCTTTGCCTCTCTCACCATTTCTTCTCTCCTTTCCTCCCCTCTTCCTTGGCTTTATATTTAAATAACTCTTTCTTTTTGAATGCCTGTTCTCTGGGTGCCAACTCACAGCATCTGATGAAGTGAGCTGTTGCTTACAAAAGCTTATGCATCTCCGAATTAGTCTGTAAGGTGCAACTCTACCCTGCCTGCTGCCTGTATTTAGAAGGTAGAACATAATACAGCTCAGTGCATTTAGCCTAGCCTTCATAATAAATTGAGAAACTTTGGTTTAAGGAGAGTTTTCTTTCTAAATTTTTATTCACAAAGCACCCTTGAGAAATATTTATTTTTAAAAAGCATGTACTTTATTCAAAATCAAACCAAGCATAACAGCCTGTTGGGCTACTGAGGTTAAGGCACTACAGTTTCTATAGTAAACTGTAAACAAGGGAGTGATGCACCTTGTATGAATGTCTTTGACTTACCAGCCTGACCAGTTAGAACTGAATTGCTTGGGAGAGGGCAGATTCAAAGACAGGACAGAACTTGTGCTTTTGTTTCTACAGCAAGAGGCCATAACTGAGTAGCCACCACTTTCAGCTTTCTATTTATTACAGTGTTCTAATTCTTAATATCTTTTTAAAAAAATCAATCAGCAATGGAAGAACAATCCTGCATTGGCCTGAGAATCTATCTGATCAGTAGTTCTCAACTATACTGCAGAAGTGGGCCTTATCTCTCAAACCCAGTTTTGTGATTTCAGAGATTTTTTTATGTTCCTAGAGTCATGCAGTTATGAGAAAATATAAGATTTCATTAAAAATAAGTTTTAAAACCTTTTATGATTGCAAAAGAAATATTGAACACTTCCCCTCTAAAGCTCAAAGAAGAAGGTAAATTAAAAGAGCTTTTTAAAATGTCATAATTTTAAAGCCAATCTCATGATTTTTAGAACTTGATTCATAATTTTGGGATGCTTGAAGTAGACTACACTCTGCTAGCATGTCAGAGCATGAATTATATATTGCAAGTTAGGTGTTTTGTGAATATTGAACACTGTGTAGTATGAATTAATGCATGTACAGTAATAAAATGTATGTTGCGTAATAATAATAATAAGACTGTCTATATTTTGAATGCAAATATATTTATTGCATAATATAATTATATACAGTAAAAGCCGCGTTATCTGGCACTTCATTAACTGGCATGGTCTATTAACCGGCATCCTGGCCAACATGGCAAAACCAAAACAAGAAGTGGGACTTCTGGTTTCACCAAGTCCCAGTTCAGGCCATGGCCGAGGGCAAAGCAGCCTGTGCAGTACCCCCCTCCCTGTCCCCCGGCACACTGATGCCAGGGGAATGGCAGGAGAGGCGGCACGGTTAATCTGAGATATGGATGCATTGAACCCAGCAGGGGGGGCCTCTTTGCCCAACCAGGCAAAGACACCTCTCAGGTAACCAGCATATTTGGTTATCCGGCACCCCCCCTTTCCCTGTGGGTGCCAGATAACAGAGCTTTTGCTGTAAATTAGATTGCATAACATTAATAGATAGATAGATAGATAGATAGATAGATAGATAGATAGATAGATAGATAGATAGATAGATAGATAGATAGATAGATGTGTACTGAATGTAGGTGTCATTTTTGGCCATACTGCATACACCAAATTCACTTTGAAATATTGTATTATTGTGTTGTGAAGTATTTAGGCTCCAGACCTAGCTAAAATAGTAAAATGGATCCTGAGAAAGATCATGGAAGAAAAGAAGCTGTCTGGTTCAGAGGTTACAGAAGAAAAAAAGGGAAATAGCTTGTGGGTTGCAAGTGAAACACTGCTGAGATTCCCTGGGGAAGGAGACTTAATAGGCATCTCTAACCTCTCTGATTCTATGTCTTATACCTTCTGTTTGATCTGTATTTTATCAAGGTCACCCTTGCTTCTGGCAAAGGGCTGCTCACAGGCATTTTTTTTCTTCCTCTGTTAAAATGGTGTCTCCAACAAGTCATCAAAAACAGGATCTTCCTTTGGGTGTCAAATTTCAAGTTGTAGGGTGTTTTGCAAAGGAGGAAAGAGGAAAAAAAGCGCTCAAACCCTTTGGAAGTCAGTAATTTGCCTTGGAAGTCAGTACTGCAAGAAAGTTCTCCATTACAGATGCAACATGGGTGCTGACTGGCTGAAGCCTTCTTACCCTAATGCGCTTAAAATCTTATTTGTAGTTGACATCTGTCAAGACAAAAGCAAAATACACAAGTCCTCTTAATCCATTAGCTCTAAATTCAGACAAGCTTTCACATTGCTTTTCTGCAATAGAAAAGGAATATTTAAAAGGAAACAAAATACAATGGGATGGTGTGTACTTTCCTTGTGACGGGATCCTGGGAAGTAGGAAAAGCTGATTTTGATATAAAAAAGGACTTTCTACAAACTGGAAGAATTGTCGATAAAGCCCTTATGAGAAAAATGCCAGATTCCAGTACGGGATGAAGCCGTAAGTTTTATTGTCTCTTATTCTTTATTTGATCATCTGGATATTGACAGAAAAGACTGACAAACAAGGTGACAGGATGGGTTGCACGCCTTCCCGCAGTGAGATTGTAAATCATATTGCAAAAATTGGAGGAAGGACTCTAAATAATCCTAAAGGTGTCCTGCCTGTTGATCCTGGGGACAAAGAGTTCTCAATTCCATTGCTGGTCAAAAATTCATCTTACTATAATACTGATGAGAGCTCCCAGAGTGGGAGTCAGATGAAAGATGGTCTGAAGGAAAATCAGGAAAAAGTACTGGAAAGGGACAAAAATGCTAACTTCCATTTGTCATCTGAGGATCATTCACATCACAAGATCCTCAAAGACGACAAGAAAATCAAGAGGACAGAGGCTGAAACAGCCCTGTCCAAAATGACTGAGTCTCAAAAAAATGTAGCTGGGGACACACAGATCAAAAAGCAAAGCTCCTGTGAATCAGAAACAACTGCGTGCACTTTGGATGACAAGAATGAAAGCAACTCAAAGCAAATGCCTAAGAAAGCAAAGAAACAAAAAAGCCACAAACAGGCAAAGCAGAGTCGTCACTGCAAAAGCAAAGAAAAGTCCACGCCACCTCTGTGCGAGACTGAGGAAAAGGTGGATTTCCCAGAGTTGCTTGTTAAAGCCCATCAGAATGCTTATGCCTTCCTAAATCCCAACCTTTCAAAGTATGAAGCTATCCTATGTATGGCCAATCAAGCTACCCAAACTCAGCTGCACTTACAGCAGATGGTGAGCTTTCTAGTGCTGCGCTTTAATGAAATCAACCAGCTCTTGGAAGAAATTGCCAACGATGGGGAAGAACTCCTCAAAGAGGTTGGTGGGAATCTATTGTGGCCAGCTGGGAAAGATGATCCAAAGGAGCATCCAGATCTTTTGCAGCAGTTACTACAGTATACAGTCAACAAAATGCAGGTGGTAAATGGAACCGTGGCTTCCCTAACCTCGGATGCCTTGCAAGAGACATGCAGCTACTTACAGTCTGCAGTCAGCAATTTGGAATTAAAACTGAAGGCAAAGCAAGGTTTTGATGAACGCTTACTAAAGACCATAAAATTGCTTGAAGCCTCTGCAGTGGGACCCTCTGAATCCCATGGCAATGATAGGACTCTGTATTCTGAAGACAGTGGTATTGGTGCAGACAATGAATCTGTCAAAGGATTCAATTCCCTGGATAAGCTTGGAAAGGAAGGAAGCTGCAAGGCTTGTGTTTGTGATCATTCATCCCAAAAGCACATCAGACCACCAGAAGAATATATGGGGGATGGCACATCAGCATTAGTCACAACCAGATCTCAGGACTATGCACTCGAAAGGCATTGTAAAGCAGTATTTTATCCGTCTGTGGACAGCAAAAAAGGAATTCTGTGCCTGGAGTCAGCAAGAGAAGATCTTTCCATCAGCCCCCAATGTTCAAGCCTGATCAAAAGCCATTCCCTAAACTCCTTCCTGTCTGATTCCACCCAGGAAAGTGAACATTTAAAAAACTGTGAGTCAGTAGATTATCCTTCTGAAGATGAGGAGAGCACTCTGGGGGAGGAGGAGGATGACAAGGTAAGTTTATCAGAAATGGGTAAGGATCCTCTACTTAAAAGACAAATGTCTTCACCAGCAGTAACTGATACTGCATGGAGAACAGCCACTAAAAGGATTGAGAATCCAGAGAAGGAAGAGATAATATTGAAGATGAAAGATGCAATCAGTGAAAAGATCAAGTTTGTCCCAACTGGATCTGAACCGATGGGGTGGGCAGAAGATGGAAAAGCAGCAGTAACTGCAAGGCCTAGTACAGCAAGTGGCAGTCGGAGACTTGCAGTTAAACAAAGAAGGTCTAGATCAGAGGAGTCTCTCAGAAGCCAGGCAGAGGACCCAACCCTTTTAGAACTCCAAAGGACTCAAAAGGAGCTCAGCAAAAGACTGGAAATATTTTATGCACTTAATGGGAGCAAAGATACTGATGGAAAGTGGGAGTCCCTAAAACCAAGAGCAGTGGTTTATGTGCAAGATGCTGAGCCTACTACTCTTAGGCCTTCTATCAACAAATTAAAGGCATGTCTCTCAAAAAACTTCAGCGTTTTGCCTAATCAGGATAAGGTCCCGTTATATAGAGCTGAGCAAAATTCTGCCAGTCAGCCGGATCAGAGGAGCAGAAGAACGCCTTTAAACGCTGCTGTGTTCACTCAAGATTCATCAAATGGGAAAGACAATGAACATCCTGAAATACAAACATTGAGCAGTGGCAGTTGTACCCCTCGTAAATCTGTCAAAAAGCTTATTGAGACCTTTAGTCCTGCTGAAGGCCTTGTGAAACCTATTCATTTAAGACCCTTAGGACCAATAAAGTGCATCAAAAAATATGGACTTCCAGTAATGCCTCCCACCCTTCCCTTTCAGAGAGGATTAGCACCTTTAAGTCACAAGCATCGTGTCTCACCAATTGGAGATACAAACCTTCCAAGCACAAATGCAACCCACTGTAACTCTTCAGCAGCTCTTCCACCTCCACCTGCTTCAGAATTAAGCACAAATGACACAAATGGAGAATATGATGTAGATTTTGAGAATCTGCCCCCACCACCTCCTGAAATATTAATGGACAATTCGTTTGACTTATCTGTGTCTGAAGAAAGTATAAGAATGGAAGAAAACTCTTCAGAAGAGACTAAAAAGCCTGCCAAAACAGAAATCCACATGGCTAAGAGAGCACAAATTTCTCCAAAGATGAAAGCCTCCCTATATTCTATTGATTTATTACCAAGTAAAAATATCAACAGGCCCAATGTTTTTATTAGTAAAGTTTTAAGGAACACTGGAGTGGACCCAAAATTTGGAATATATGCATCGGAACAGAATCCTTCCAATCTCTACAGCCAAGAAAATACGTTAGCATCTCAGAGAGAGCAGGAAATGAAAGAGGCTGCAGATTTGTATAAGCAAACTCATAAAATAATACCTCTTCCATATCCCAGTGGATTATCAAAACAAAACAGAAAGGAAAACCCATCAGAAAGGAAAGAGTCTGGTATAAATTTAGCTTCTGAGCAAAACCCAAAGCAAAGTTCTCCTGATTCACTCAGGAGAAATGAGAAAAGCGCAGTTCTCCTTAGAAAAGCCTCTCCCACACGAACACCGCCTTCTTCTCCACCCACTGAGAAACGGCTCTCAAGTCCACCTGTACATCCCACACACATTGTGCAGGTTTTTAGCCCTGTGCAGCCAAATTGTTCTCCTACACACAGGCAACCTAGTCCTCCAACCAGCCCAAAAGTATCAAGCCCTCCAACACAAAAGAAGATGTCTTCTCCACCGACTCAACGAAAACTGTCTAGCCCTCCAGTGGGACGCAAACAAAGCCCACCAACTCAGCGCAAGATGTCAAGCCCTCCAACCAACCGCAGAGAAGCAAGTTCACCTCCATTCAGTGCCACCCCATCCCCACCAACTTCTCCATCTTGGTCATACAAAGGACTAAAAATCCCTTCAGATTCTGGTGATGAACAACCGCCTCCTTCTTCAAAGGTTGCCAGTAATGTACATTCAATATTTTGCCCAGCCACCTCTTCTTTATTTGAAGCCAAACCTCCATCTCCGCCTAGCAAACCCACTGCCGAGGTCACAGGCAAAACTGAAGTTTCAGGTTTTGCCCCAAAAAACAGTGTTCTGCTCAGACCCTGGGGGGATCAGTCCAGAAGGCTGGCTGCAAGCGCCATCAACCCTCAGCCTTTTGTAAAGAGAAGCTTCTCTGACCGCAGACCAGGGTTTCAGCTGAGGCTTCCAGCTCCAGCCTCAGCCAGCAGCGAACCTGCACTTAACCAGCCCAGGTGAGAAACATCCTGCTTTCAGTCCAGATTTATGGGTTGTTTCATGCTCTGTATGCTTTCTGGTTCTGGCGAGAATTTAGTCCAGTCCAAAGATCCCTGAGAAGTACCCAATTATGTGCAGAACAGTAATACCAGGATCCCCACACCCACTTTGACCACACTTACCTTAACCAAGACTTGAATAATTCACCTCCCAGGCTGCAGGAGGGAGTTCAGTCTACAGAATTCATTCAAGCCTTGGCAGTCAACTGAGACAGCTAACCAGACTACCAGTTAGAGACAAATTTTGTAGGGCAGAACACTTCACTTTAGATACATGCGTTCCTTTCGTGTAATGCATGAAACAGCCCTCCAACAGTAACAGTTATACACTGCTAATGACTTGGGTTGGTTTGAAATGAGCAACTTGGAGGCAAAAGATTATCTTGCTATAAGTCCCTGAACCAATCTTTGAACTGAATTCTGTGTTTAAATATCTTAAACCACTAAACAGGAACGGTGCATAGGTGATTTGCAGGCATCTATCTCCTCAGTTGCAAAGCTTTATTCATAAAACTGGCACTTGAAAATCTGAGCTCATCTTTTGGGCCTACATTTTCAAAGCCAGCTACTGGTTTTGGGTGACTCAGTTGGTGGGTGCACACTCAGAGCTTGCTCATGGAAGCTACAAAGCTTCTGCAGTTGCCATAAACTTACAGATGTGGTTATTCTGAAAAATTGTGCCTCTGCCCCTTTATTCAAGTTGAGTCCTCCATAATCAGCGATCACTTTTGAAAAAGCTGACCTTAACATATCCACCACTTAAAATTACAAGACAAGCTGGGAAATGTAATTCATCTATGTTTGCAAATTAGACTAAGATCATCAAATGTCATGGAAGTGCAAAATGTTTTTATTTTAGCTTTTCATGATCTTAATACATTTAAGTCCATCAAGTTTTAAGCTACACAAGAGGATTACAAGCCTGATCATGCATCCCTTTCTCATGCAAGCAGCATTTATATTCATGTCTGTAGCTCTGCTAAAGTCAGTTGGACCATACATGTGAATAAGAGTTTGCAAGATCAACCCTCATCCAACAAAACCCCACCTTTAGTGTATATGAGTGTATGCCTATGTGTATGAACACACACATATATATACACAAAATGCATCTTCAGTACAGGAATGAACTTAGCACATAAATCCAATGTCCAGACATGTCCTAGTAAACAAAATAGGACCCAACTTCTCTCTTGAGTATTGCAAATAACCATGTATGTCTAGTGCTGGTTACCTATACAAAATAATGACAAAGCCTTCAGTGAATACTAATGGTTTTGCATTCTGGGCTGTTTTATTGTGCTATACTTTGTAATGTTCAGAGTAAGTTTTAGCTCCTAAACAATGCATTTTTTATGTACAGTGTAAAATCAGCATCATCTAGTACAGTGTCTGCTGGCTGAAATAAATGTTTCCAAGACAGCTGTATGTCAAGCCTTGAGCCAAAAAATGCATTACCAGTTTTATAGATTAATTTTTAAAATAGGCTATTATAAATTGCTAGTTAATTTCTTCTTCAATGATGAATATTATCTGTCTGTTGTACTCAGTCACAGCACAAACGATAATATAAAAAGGACACTGAAATAAACTATAAATACAATTGCTCTTTTCATGAAACACTGATATATCTGTTTGAGTCACAAATATACGGGTTCCCAAGTCACTTCAGAAAAAAGAAACACACAGAGTCAAACTCAGCTTTACATTTCCACCAGTGTAATCCCAGAGCAATTCTATTGAATTACTGAAGATTTATATCAGTTTAAGTGGGAGAGAATTTGGATCCGCTATTTACAGCTTACATTGATTTAATATGCAAAGCAATCTTGCTTTTTTCTTAGGTTTAAAATTAACTACTCAGCCTACGCCTTATAGACACTGCTTTGAATTTTATTATATACCTATCTGGGCCCTAAGGACATGCACGGTGACAAGCAGATGTGTGATGTTTGAGGAATCTGCACACTGAATATTACAAAAAGCCTTGAAGTTCCCAGTGTCACTGCCTATAGAACCAGCACTGCATCTTCTAGGACACTGAAATGAAATGGTTTCAGAGCACAGGCATGCTGCTGCATGGCTAGTGACTCATAGCTCAAGCAGCAGTTTTCATTAACAGAACTGTACGCAACCCCCTGGGCTCTGATTCATTACTTCCAAATGCAGTAGCCATACAAGGCTTCATCAGCTTCTCTCCTCATTCAGTTGGCAGAAGCAAAATTTTAAAATGCTTAACCCTTATAATGTCAAGAAGTAGCCTATGGATCCCAATGTCTCCAGGCTCCAATGAAGTTCAGATCTAGATCTGAACTGCACACTACAGGCCCATGTGAGGACTAGTCTTCTCCCCATTATTCCTCTCTTTACCATGCCCAAGACCTTCCTATATCCCTCCTTTCTTACCAAGCTTAGCAAACTCCTGGCCACACTCTCCCTGGTGACCATCACATGTGGACCTCCCTCAACAGGCTGACTTACTCCTACCTTTCCTTAGACTGCCAGCCTGGCAGGACCTACCCTGGGCACTTGTCAGTGCCTTCCAGCTTCTTCCTATGCATTAATCCATGAGGAGGGTCAGGAAACTGTAGGAAAAGCAGGAAGCAGGGAGTATTGTGACTGCAGATAGGAAGAATAGCATTTACCTGCCAAAGGGAAAGAGAGACACTGGAAGCAAAGGGCCTGAACCACTAAGCCTCAATAACTAGGAACTCTCCCTTCTCCAGTATACCACCCTCTATTCCAAGATGCTGAACATGCTCATCTTAGGAAACGAATTATTTCTCAGGAGTTATACAGGCTCCTAAGATAATTGTTGAGTTAGACATTTCCGTGTGTACACAGCAGGCTGAGTCCAGCTTGGTCAGCTTGGCACCTCAATTTAGGCATAGCAGTGCCTAAATATTAACAGCTAGCTCCAGGAGGACAATCTAGACGGGCAGGGCCACATTCCAAAAGATGATTCAAGAGCTCATCTGTCCCTAGAGCTAAACACTAAGCATAGACGTGTGTCTGAACTTCTGCCTCTCTCCAGAATTTAGAGGCCTGACTCAGGCTACATATTAGACATCTCCATTCACTCAAGATCCAGGCCATCTCATGCCTCCTCTGAAAGTGGATGCTTAACTCCTTGCTGCCCACCCTGCTGCAAACTAGCCTAGTGATTAGAGCACTTGCCTAGGAAGTGGCTCTCTCTGGCCTGAGGGGATTGAAACCTGCATCTCCCACTTCCCAAGAGCATGCCCTAACCAAAAGGCTATGGAATGGTCTGGGTGGAGGCACCCTCAAGCCTTCCTGCTGAAACTGAGACAAGAATGCAAGAGTCACGGGGCCAGAGAGAGAAAGCATAAGCCAGACAAAGCATAGGCCAGGGCCAAAGGCATTCCCTTGGGAGGGGAAAGATCTGAGTTGTGGTCCTGGGACTGTTTATACATTTCACTTTTCTGCCAGGTGGCCTAGTTTCAGCAGCAGTAGGGAAGAATTCAGCATCCTAAATTGTCCTGTAAGTTGATGGTTTGGTCTCCTGTAAGTGGGCAAAGTGGCTTGGAATCCCTTTAGGCTAATGAAGACCTAGAACCAGGTCTCCTGCTCCCATCACTAGACTACTACGCAAAAGGTGTTAGGGGAATGAATGAGACTGTAGCTGCCGCACTTTGTACTGAACTTAGTTCAGATAGGGTGAATTAGGTGTGCTTGGGGACATCCCAATTTTTGGGTCCCTCTGGTGATTCACATACCAGTTCAACTCTAATCTGGTTAACAGCAGGGCTTAAGCATGGTAGCTGTTCAAATGGATCCTGGAAACCCCAAAGTAGGCACCAAATGATTTTAGGCACTTTAGTGGTTTGTAGGTGCTGGAGCAAGACGGTTCTGAATTGCTTTTTGGAGCTTAGATGCTGAAATTCGACCTGAGTCCAACTGAGGTTGCTTACAGGATCAGTCTGGATCAGGCCTGATATTTTCACAGGAGGTAGATAAACATTTACAGGAGGATCTCTCTAATGAAATAACTGGCACAAAGAAGCTGGACTGATGTAGTCTGTTTCTGAGATCTCCATGAATTTTGGGACTCTTTTCTTCCATTTTTTTAACACTAGGAAATGTCCTTCTACTGGAAAACAAACTGCTTGAGGCAAGAGATCAGTCATGACCCCAGATACAAATACACACCAACCACCTGATGGGACTCTGGGGTTAGACCTGTGAAGACTCACCACTTCATTGGCCAACCTAGTCTCCCACAACTGGACCAGGAAGAGAATGAGCTTCCAGCCCATTCTGACAACCAACACTTTTGGGCCCTGTAAATAAGCACCTCTGCCAGTCCTGCACTCTGAATGGTCCACTAGAAAGCAAGGAAATGGCCCCTTTTTAAGTGTATAATCGACATCCCATCTCATCATTTGCAGGAAATCAAGATAAAGGATTTTAAATAGCTCACTATCCCAAACTGTTGCTACAAGAACTTTGCACAGCTGTTGTTACTATCAGTACTAAGACCCTTGTTTTATTGTGCCAGTTTTCACCCCATAACTGGCTGCCATCTGGACTGGCTTTGAGCACTAAGATTCTTGCTCTGTATTAGCCTGGCCATTGGATAACCATCAACACTAACAACATGTTTGCAAAGGAGAACTTGGACGGATTCTCTGTTTGTGCAAATCCTATTAATCTATAATAAGATTTGTGTGTATTTAGTAAAAAAAAAAATGCTGTTTGCTTCATAGCACAGCTCTCAGGTTAAGTCCCTTCACCAGGGGTAGAGCTGGGATAGAAGGAAACTTAAAATGTTACTCAGATTTCATTCAGTTAAGGAGAAGCATGAGGCTTGGAATCAGTGACACAGGCCTAAAGCAAAACTTGAGCCCTTCCAGACCTGGGGAAGCCTGGATCTGGATTAGATTTTCAGGAGAGGTCCTACATCTCTGTGTTTGGCTAAATCTCTTGATCTGGCAGTAGGGG